CCCCCACCCCGGTGCCGCCGGTGTCCGGGCCCCGGGCCGGGGACGATGCGGGCCCGCGGTGCCCGGGAACGAGGCTCACACGCCCCTGGGCTGTGGCCTGCTGACAGCCGAGGGGACGGGCGGGGGTCCCGGTGCCCCTCAGCAGGCCCGTGCTGGGGCAGGGCAGCTCCCTCCCGGCCCTCATGGGGCACGGTGTCGGTCATACCCAGCCCCTCTGTGAAGAATGGGGCGGCGCGGGGCTGTCTCCATAAAACCGCCCGGTTTATTCTGTGTTCATTGTATGCGGTGGGAGAGGCGGGAACCGTGTGTGGAAGCGACCTGACATGGTTGGGGCTCCGGTCGTGCTCAGCTGATCTCATCTGACAGCACCCTCTGGGTATCCCCAGTGCCCGGCACTGCTTTTGCGGGCAGCTAAGGTGCTTTTCTCCCCCTTTTTTTAGAGCGGTGCATGTAATCTTCACAGGGCTGTGTCAAGCCCAGGAGAGACACAGACCGGCCAGATTCCAAATCCCTAAGTGAGATGTGCAGCAGGACAGATGTTTTCGTTGCTGCCCTGGGTTGCACAGGTGGCTCTGAAGGCTTCTGCCTTTCCATGCTCTTTAAACTTGGGACACGCTGTTGTTTTGTTTGTTGTTTGTACTTCTCTATTATAAACCCCTGCATGTTAACCCCTTAAGCTGCTAACTACCCTCTATGTGCCGTTTCTGATGTAGTCAAGGATGAGAATGAAAATAGCTTTGCTTTCACTTGTGTACACTTAGATCTAAGTTAGCATTTATCCTTAAAAAACCTCATGCATTATCACATTGCTGTTATGCTTGGCTTGCGAATGTTTGGAGGAAGAGAATAGTTGAAATCCCAGTTGCTTTCATCCTCAGTGGGGGGGAATGAAAAAGTCAACTACTTTGAAAATATTTCTTGTTGTGTTAGGTAAGCTCTTCTGAAAGTAGATAAGCTACTTGACCTGCCTGCCCCAATGGCATTTTAGCTGTCAGAACACTTACCTCTTTTTTTCGCCCTCTTTCATTCCCATGTCTCTCCTGAGATATATTTACTTAGCAACACAGATTAATTTTGCTTATACTTACCTACTATAAATATTAATGTGCTGCATTACTTCAGAGATTTCTTCACCCTTTCCACCATTCCTTTTCCCATACATTTATAGTGAGCATCTAGTGAGAATAGATAGGTCTGTCTTGGCATCTTCCTTCTTTCTCCCATTTGAATTAATTTTCCTTCTTTCTCCCACTTGGATGCATAGACCCTCCCTTTGTTAAATATTTTATATATATATGAACAATTAGTTGTATCCTCTAAAGCTCTTCCATCTGCAACAGCCAGGCTGTTTCCCAACCAATTAAATTAAATTGAAACTGTGCTGATATTTGGATACTACTTAGTTGTTAAATATGAAAACAACTCCCCGTGGAGTCTGATGAATCCAGAGGATGTAGCCTTGGATTTATGTGTCTATATTCTCTTTCTCTCATGCCATGATGTGGAGGTGTATTCTGTACCAGAAATAAGTGTGTGGCATATTCCTGGCCTGGTTTCGGGCCTGATAATTACTTCTGCTTTCTTAGACTTCTCTTGTACTATAAAGTGAACTTGATTTTCATCATGATCTTAACTGCTATTGTTTGAACACTTCTGTATTTCCTGTTGCAACTTCCTAACCACACTTCATGATAGGACTGCCCTTTTAGCCTCTTAAATATCTGGGGTGGGTTGTTTCTCTCTCCTTCTGTTAGAGCTTGTGTGTGTTCCTCCTTTGCCGCAAACTTCTTGTTTCTTAATCAAAACTTTAGTATCATTTCAGATCATTCTCCTTGGTTTGTGAGCAGGGCAGACACATTTTTAGTCCTTCTGAAGGCTTTGGTCTAAGCCTGCCATGCTTGCCATTCTCATGAATCCCTGCCAACTGCAGCAGGAGGACTTGATTCTTTTAGTGTTAAGTCAAATTGTTTCAATCAATTTGTTGTAAACTGATGGTAGCTTCCTGTGGCTGCCTCCAGGTTAACTCTTCAAATGAAAGCTCATTTTGCTCGATTTTATTAGTACTATAAGGCTCTGTCCTTGCCGTTTCTGAGCAAAGATTATCTGGCAACTGCTGGAACTTGTGGGCAAGGGAGGAGCATGTCAGTGTGCAAGCATATGGCTATGTCTAATTCTGTTTCCAGGTCACTAAGAATTTTGAGGACAGAAATGGATTCTCTTTTTAAATTGCTTGATGTCTTTTTGCTTCAGAGATAAACTTCTCAGACAAGGAGAAAGGGTGAAATTGGTGTCCTCAAACTGGATTTTTTGCATTAAGTGTGCCCTATAAACTGTTATAATTGGTTCTTAAGGATTCAGGGGAATAGCTGATCTGAATCGCTCTGAAATTGGATGGCTTTTATTTATAGGTTTTTATCTTGTTCTCACTGCCACAGTGAGCATCTCATGAGCATTCATTTCAGGGTAGTTTATGCAAAGTGTTGATTATACATTTACAGCCCTCTGATTGCTTGACGACTTGTAAAATTCCTTTAATTGTCTGTCCAGACTTTGGCTGTTTCTTTTGGCCTTTGGTTATGCAGTCACTCTTGAGAAATAAGACTGCAATCTTCAATCCTTACAGCAGAACTGTTGTCTTCTGATGTGCCATGGTAGCAGAAAGTGGTGACAGACAGGACCGTGCTACAGTAAAATACAAAGATGCCTTGAGGTCCTTGGTGCTAAGGTTGATGTATTGTTGCTCAATTGCAGTTCTTGGCTGATAATTACATGTATTGGAAATAATCTATTGAAACTTGGCCTTTTAAAGTATTTTTGATGCACAGTTACCAAAAAATAGTATCTGTAATTTCTGGAAAGTGTTATTTTCCTTTTGTTTATTATATCTCTTTCCTGAGAAGTAAAGAAGCTGGGCAGGCAATCTGGCCCTGGCTGCTCTCACAGTTCACTTGTCTTCCCTACCCTGAGGGAGACAATATGCAACAATTGGAAGGGACCAACTGACCCAAAAAGAGAGGATACACTGTTTATATATTACTCTAAAATGCACAGTTCGGGGGAAAAAAAAAAAGCTAAAGCAAATGAAAACCTAAACCATTGGACTTCTCCTCAACCCCAAGAGAACAGCTTGAGCTGGAAGTAGAGTCCTGAAAATGTGTTTGGGAGTGTCTGTCATGTTATGCTTGGAAGCTCCTTGCTGGTAGAATGTACAGGAAATATTTTCACTTCTTTTTGGGGAAGCTAAATATAACATTTCACTACCCCTGGTCCTGTAATTGCTGTTAAATAATGTGGTAATTGTGAGTTCACTTAATCATTGATAAGTCCAGTCTATCTCACGTAGAACTTATTTTTCTATTTTCCCTTTTTTTAAAAATAAAGCTCTTGATTGCTGCTGCATGGATAAGGATATGGAGAGTTGATTTTTGGAGGGAACTACAATGTAGCTGGGCAATCAGAAGCTTCTTACGAAATACTTAGTACAGTTAGGAATGCCTGATATTTAAAGATGCTCTGATCAGTAAAGATCATCTATTGTTTCTTGATTTTCTCCAGCTGATGTCTTTCAGGTATAGCCAGAGCTCATTCTGAAAACTGAAGTTTTCAGAGGCAGTGGCCCAGAAGAATGAGCTGATTTCTACTTTAGGCAAACCTTGCAGTGCCCTACAGGTAGCTGTTTCCTCTGGTGCCAGTTGTCACCATTTGGGAGATAGAACTGTTTCAGTGAGGTGATCTGTAACTTCCTGTCTTTCAAACTTCTGAAAGCCCTGTGAGGAAACCAGGAGGCCTCCACCTCTTGCTGGGTGTGATGCTGGGCTGTTAAAAGATGATTTCTCTCCAGCTGGACAAGACCAGGCAGCTGGAGCACAGATAGTTTTTGTGTGTGTAAGGGCATTCATGTGTGATGAGACTCTCCTGTTCCTAAGGCGGTTGGATGGTTAAACTGTGACAGAGGACCTGTCCTTCTCTGGAGTATCTGCTGCCTGTTGTATGCACACTTACCAGGTTTCCTCTAGGATCTGCATGAAATACAGTGTCCCCTTAGAGGTGAGAACAGTATTTGCAGCTGAGGAGGATGATGACAGTGGAATTGCAGCCCCACTTAGTACCATAGAGAAACATTATTAAAACTTGCAGAGTGCATGAGAAAATCTTTATCTCCTTTTAAGGGCTCTAACTCCTTTTGTAGCATATCTCAACAATAAGTTGATTTCAGTTTTCACCTCTTGAGTTCCAGTGGCACATAAATTCTTTTGTTTTGAAAAGGAGCTTGTAATTTGAAAATGCAAATAGCTTGTAATGCTGTAATGAGTCATTATCTGACCAGTATTGATTCTTGCTGTTTAAGAAATGGAAATAAGTTGAAAAGGGAAGGGTACAGTAGCATCTACAGCCATTCTGGGAGCCAGTGACATGTTTATATAAGTGGAAAATGCTATTTTGAGTGGAGACTGCCATCCACAAAGCAATCTGTGCTGGAAATATTCTAGCGTAAGAGAGCTGCCTTTATGCAGGAGTAATGCCTGAGGATTTCCAGTTACTGGAAAAAAATCCTGAAAAATCTAAAGCTGTAACTCTTCTGTCTTGGGAATTGGAAAAAAAAATAAAAAAGAAAATAGCCTTTGGGCAGCTTAGCTCAGTGTAGCTGCTCCCTGATCACAGCCTGCAGCTCAAGGTTTCATTCTTCAGTCACAACAAACCACATCCTCTCAGGACCAGCTAAAGCAAGGGGGCTCTTTGCAGGCTTTGCAGTCTTCTCATCCAACTCTTGCTAATGCCATTAGCAAGAAGTACAAATGGAGCTGCTGGTTTGTGACTAGTGCTTCATATGAACTGGCCCTGCCACTCAAGAGCACTTAGGCTGCTCAGCTGCCTGCTCCAGGTGTTCCAGTTGTTTAGTTCAGCCTCTGACTTAAAGATACTTCCACTCTGTGCCATTGATTTGCCTGAGCATCGTTTTAATTTGATTATTAGGTTGTGACAATGAAGCTCATATCTTTTGCATAAATGGGGAATCTTGGAAGCAACAGAAGAAAGAGGTGATACCTATTTGAAGTAGTCAGTGATTTAAGCAAGGCACACACTGTTTCTTACCTTTTGACTGGAAACTGTTCCTCTGGAGTGCTCTTTTTAAAGAGATAAAAAATTATAAGGGCTAAAAGCCATTTTTGCGTTTCTGAGTTGAGCCATATAAATTGATTAAATTACTGTCAACCCAACCATCTGCAAAATGTCTTACCACAATACTGCAATATTGCAATGTGTGTGTTCATGTGTTTCAGTCAGCATTTGGGCAGGCTTCTGTATATAGGGGTTTGAATGTGTCAATAGCTTTTTGCCCAAATAGAATTCCTCTGAATATGCATCTTATCAGCGTTGCTCATTGCAGGCTGCTCTCCTCTCGGAAGGCAGAAAACGTTGCTGTGAGATGAGTCACACACTTTAACAGCTTGTTGCTTCAATGGTGAGACGCACCCTTGCTGTGCATGCCAGTGATCATGAAACTGCTGGCAAATGCCCTGTGACGTGAACTCCTTATGGCCCCGGTAAATGGAACACCCCTGGCACTTGCTGAAAGGCGTTCTGCTTGTAGCTCCTCGCTGCTGTTGGGCGCACTGTTCCTCCTCCTCCCAAGAGACTCCTAAACCGAGGCTTCATGGAAATAATGAAATTACTGCATTGGTGGGGGCTGTTTCAGGATGGAATTACTGGGGAACTTAAAGCCACAGTGTAAACTTCTTGTATTGAAGTAGTCAAAGACATCAGAGTATTGCATCTGACCTGTTTTGAAAGAACTGTTTTATCAGAGATCTTAGTGTCCCTCTACTGATCTCATACCAGAGCTCAGGAGGTGGCTTTGATGCTTAAGCTTTCCACTGCTCTGCCAATGGAGAAGCACAGGAGATCTTGGAGAATTAAATTCCAGAGATGTTGTCTCAGGAGATGGTCTGCAGCTTGTAACTGAATTAAATATCCAAAAAGTGAATTTTAATGTGGAAAGCCAGTCCCGTCCCAGTGGCTATTCTATTCTCACTGGCTGCTACCGTGTCCCTTCTGTTTTGATGTACAGAACTATGATATTTAAAATTGCAGCAAGAGCTTTTAAGACTTGTTCAACTGGCTTGGTTTAGCTTCAACAGCTGACATCTGAGAAATGTGTACATTAGGATTCTTCAGAAAAAAAGTCCTGAAACAAAACATGTCAGGCTTTTCATCTCTACCCTTTTTACACAATGATGAGAATGAGGGACAGGGCATGTGCCTTCCATGTGTAAAATCCTTTGCTTTCCAAAGGAGAGCTAGTTGGTAGTTCGAGGTAGTCTGACTCTTCTGAGTGGTGCAGGACCAACCCTTTCACTCAGTCCATCTAAAAATGGCGTTTCCCACAGGTCTCTGAAGCTCCTGCATGGACTGCAGAGAGTCAGCTGATGTCTGTGAGCTTCTTGTACAGTAGCAGCTATCCTTCAGAGTCTGCTGTTTCCTTGCAGTAGTTATGTGTTCTGGAGAATCTTCAATAGGAAACAGGGTGTCACACTGAAAATTAGCTCACAAGTTGCTGTGGGGCTGGCAGGGAAGTGACTCAGCTCTCTGACCTATGGACAGAAGCTAAACCTAGGTACAAGAGGAAATGCTAAGTGATGAGATAAAGGTGTTTCTGGAATAAGGATTGATTCTTTTTTTTTGTTCTTCTTTGTTTCTGTTGTCTTTCTGGTTTTGTTTTCCTTTCCGCAGACCTCCTCAACAGTTTTAAATAGTTTAAAGACAAACAGCTCTGGGCATGTTCTTCAGAGATGCTGTAACCACTGTATTTAAATACAGTGTTTCAAGATGTGGTAGGAAACAGCTACCTAGGTGCTGTATTGTCTTCCTGAGTGAAGTGCAAACCTTGAAATGACAGCCCTCCCCTTTTCCCTTTCACATTGCACAATGGTTCACAACGATTTAATTCACGCTCTGAACAAATATTTTTATTATGTAACATCTATGGAGTTTTGTTACTGGGAGCTCTGGTTTTATTTTTTTTCAGCTCAGTTGTATTTATGTGGAGGAGCAAGCTTGTGACTTCAAAAAGTGAAGTGAGACAGGACAACTTAGACCGTTTTGTTCTTTGTGGTGTTTCTTCCTCCTTGGTAGTATTTTGGTACTGCAGCAGTTAATAGAATGTGTAAGCCTGAATTTGAATTCCACCTCGTAATGAATCTTGAGACAGTAGCTACCCTGTAGTGTGGTTCAAGTTTAATATTGCATAAAATTGTAATTACAGTTGCACATGGGAATAAAATATAAATATATATTATTAATATATATTTATATATTAACGATATATTTTATATACTATTATAATTATGTAATGTTAATATACATGATATATATTAATGTATAACATTAAATATTAAATAATTATATAATATGTTACTAACATATATAGTATATATAATAATATCTATATTATTAATATATATTCCTTGCTTTTAGTGTTTGCCTGCCACTGCATCCCTCAGCACTTCACTGTGTGGTGCTGAAAGGGAGTTGTCCTTTTGTGCAGCTTCTGCTCTGCTCTGGAATCTCAAATAAGAGATTATCAGGTAAAACCAATATGAGCAGAGCATATTTTCAACCCCTTTCCCAAAAGTTGGGCATAGTTGTAGGATCCTTTAAGGCAAAGGAGGTATTACTAGTTAACATTTATAGTATGACTGGAATAGAGTTTGCACAGTCTCAGTGGGTGAAATGAATATTTTTCACATACACTTTACAGATCTCTGGTTTCAACTTGTACTTCATGCTGCAAAGATAACAACTGTGCCACATGCTTCTGCAACCCACACTTCTGGTCCTTGAAGTGGAATTTTTCTCCTTTACACATAAACCAGAAACTGCTCTGGTGGAGAGGAAGCTCTGTTTAACTTAGATCTGTTCATGTTGACCGTACATGGCTGAGATGGTTATTTTGGGGCAGTTTCTATCTGCTTCTCATATGACTGAGAAAGTTCAAATTTGACTTTACGTTGAGGAGAAAGGAAAAGTTTGAGAAAGTTTTTTTTTTAGTACTTGTGGGGAAGATGGCATGAGCCAAAATAAATTTTTAAGCTTCAGCACTTGCTCACATCTTGGTCCTGAATTTGATAAGTGCCCTATTTAAAAAGTAAAGTAATAAAAAACCCAACAAAACCAAAACTAAACAGCCCCACAAAACCCAACCCAAAATTACTCAGCTTGTTTTAAATTTAAACTTGCAAGTTTGATTTTAGGACAGATGAGCACAGAACGCCTTGAGCCAAAGGGAGTACATGAGAGAGACAGCTTGAGGTGAGAAGCGATCTGTGCGTGTCAGAATTTCATTTGCTCCCTGGGATGTGGGACATCCTGGACATACTTCACCCTCCTCAAACTTCATTTTGGCAGTGAACATTCTCCACATATGCTGTGGGAGATGCTGAAGAACCCTGAAGGGTAAGAGATACCAGCAGGGTTTTAGTGCAGACTTTTCCGGGGGCAGATGGGGAGCAATTTCCTGGCTGAGTGCTGATGGTTTGTCTAACGTGCAGCACTGCTCTTCGTGGCTTGGCACAGGTTCAGTGCTCTGTGTGGTGTGGAAGCACACTGTGTAAAATGTGAGAACTTCCTGCTGTGATAAGGAACCAACAGTTCTTCCAACAGGTGTAGTCTTTAGCTGCAGTCCTGAAGATGTAACAGAAATGTTTGTTGTCATGGGCCTTCAATATTGTCAATCTCAAACTGAGTCTGGCTGAACAGCTCAGAAGGCAGAGCTTCACTTTTTGCCTTGCACTGCTATGATAAGAGAATTAGGAGGGGAAGCTGTGTTCAAGAATCTCTAATCCACGATGGTGGCTGTGACTGAAATGAATAATCTTATTTTAAAGGGTGCTCTAAACCACTAAAGCTTTATAAATATTAATTTTGTTCATTTGTTTCCTAATAAAAGGCTTTCATTCATTAAATTGCTATTTATTTATTAACCTGACAAACTAATAGCAAGCTCTCTTCTTTCAGTGTATGCATGTGCCATATCACAATTCTGCTTGTCACAGTAATAAGAACTTCATTCATCTGCCTTAAAATGTCATTGATAACAACCTGGCAGTAGCCCAACTTGGAGCAAGTTAACTACAAAAGGCTGCATTGTAAATCTTTCTGAGAGTACATGCTACATTAAGTCTAAAATTAAAAAAAACAAAGAGAGAGAAAGAGAGAGATGTGCAGGCTGGTCTGAGCATCATACAACTGTCAAATAGGTTCAAACCCTTGAAAAAGCATGGAACTCTGTACAGAGGAATTCTGGCTGCAGATGGGTTAGTTTGGAATGAAGGATGCATTCTTCTCACTTTAAAATCTTTGGGGTACACTGAATTTATAAGCCTCATCTTAAAATGAAAGTGAATGCCTTGTTGAACCACAAGCAGCTAAATAAGAGCTTGGACATGTAAGCATCTTGTTATTTCCTTTAGTCTCATCTTTCTATGACTGGGATAAAAGCTACAATCTGAAAATAGTCACATGCCTCTGGGGTTAACTGCTAGGAGTACTGTGAGTTTGTCTTGGTTATAGAAACCTTCCCCATCTGCAGCCTGTGCACCAAACCTGTTTATTCATCCATAAGTTCACAGAGTGCAAAGAGGGTCTGTCACACGCCGAAGTTCAAGTATCTGGTCTCTGCCAGCTCCTCTGGAAGGACCTGAGCTGCTCCTTGCTCTGCAATCTTGTGTATGGGGCTTCACATTCATGGAGGTTTAGGACTTTGTGCCTTTGACTCTCCCATTCTTAAAACTATTACAAATTAAATTAGTAGCCTGGATGAACTGATCTGTCCATGAAACAGATGCAGAGTTTATGAACTTTATGTAGAGAAGCTTCCAGGGATCTTTAAAATGGGCCATGTCCTGTGCTGCATGTGAGGGCTGTGGGGTTTGGTGCAGCCCCTGACTAACCTAGGCAGTCTCACTGAACAATTTAACAGCTGCGTTGACCATGAAGCTTTAACACATCCTCATCCAAGGTCTTCTGGGAGCACTCTAAGCATGCATTAAACACTGTGGTTCTCATCCTACACTCCAGACAAGGCAAAGGCTCAGGCAGCATTGGGAAGGGATTTCTCACAACTGGTGCGTTTACAGTCGGATTTCTTAACTGGAATGGGGACTGCAAGAGTTTTTAAAAACTAAAAACCCAAACCCTGCAATTTCATGCTGCTTCACTTCTGTGGTTTTTGTTTTGTCTCTTTCTTAAGTATAGTGTATGGACAGCGCCATGGGTTAGGGAACACTTCAGCTTCATCTTCAGAGACTTTTCATATGTAGCCTTCTGCTGAAGTCAATGGGTGTGGAGGTAAGCAGTGCTGAGTGCTTTCTGACAACATCACTGCCACCCACTCTGCAGCCTGATGCACACAGCACTCCTTGTATTTGAGCATTGTTTTTCTCCAAAAAAGTTGCATGTGGTTGCACAATAAAGACACGGCTTATTTGTGTAATGCAAATCTGTTCCTGCTTGTTGGTACAAAGTGCAAGCAGCGAGCATCAAAGTGCTCGAGACTTCACAGATCCTGCATGAACACTTGCTACTGAACTTCAGTGACATCCTGCATTATGTCAGAATAAAAGATGACATCACAGTTGGTCTGTGAGTGAATGGGATTTGAACTCAGGGTTGAATGTTGCTGCCTGGAAGGTTGCTCATGCTCAACACCCTTTGCTCTGCTACTATTTGTTTGTTTATGTATTTTTACAGCTGCTGAGTTTAGTTTCTCTAAGGTTAATTATTTTATCAGGAGCCAGTCAGAATCGGAGTTTCCTGATTTTTTTTTCCTTGTCTTTCTGTTGATTTCCTGTTTTGTTGAAACACAACTTTCTCTGTTGAAACAACTCAGTTTCCGTCTAGTGACTTGAAGTGTCTGAAATGGCCTGGTATTCTCACAGAGATATTGACAGTGGGGTCTGGTGACTAAATTGTTGTGATAAAACAAAAATTCATTGGTTGATGCTGTTGAAATCCGCTGACTTTTCTATGCTGCTAATAGAAGGCTTTAAAATATCCAGCTGCAGACTGATCCTCTCCAAGCATGTGATGCTGACATCAGTCCTAGAAGTGAGGCGTTGAACTGCCTCCAAAAATGAGCTCATCGGGTAATATTCAATGCACTGGTTTAGCAAAATATTAATTAATTTGATTACGTGGTCACCTGTACATACTGTTTGAAAGATGGCAGTTCATTCCAATTTTAGTTGCTACTGTTCAAGATACCAGTGTTACAAAGATCCTGTTGATAGGACACTGTGCTCCCACTGTATGCTGGGACCTGGGCTTGGCAGAGCCTGTCTCTAATTGCCACTAACTTGCTCTAAGACTTGCCAGTTTCTTGACTTTTCTTCTCTCTGCATCCCTCCCAGTAAGCTGCAGGGAATAAGACAAGATTCTGTTGTCAAGCCATCTGACTAAAGCCACTCATAAAACTTGCTCAATTTTCTTGTGGCTCCCTTGACTTTTTTAAATGACTGTGTAAAAACACAGCCATGTGCTTTCCCAGAAGTTTGAGTAATGATCCATCTTCATTTTGACCTGCCTGATACCAAAGCTGAGTGACCATAATGAGATTAAACCCTTGCAGAACTGCCCTGGAGGCTTCCTCCCCTCGTGTAGCTTGAGGTCAGCAGTAACTGCAAACTTCCTCTTATAGCCCACACAGAGTGTGGATTCGAGCAACCTTGGACTGATGGTGACCCCAAATGCTTGGCTATTATTTTATAAACTTGAAGAAATTTCGTATTTACCGTTAATTACAGTAATCGCACATTCTAGATGCAACTGTGAGAGCACATTAACATGTGTCTGATTACTTATTTATTTGAAACATGGGCATAAGAGAAACAGTTTGTTAGAAGGGTTTGTGTGCATTTGTGCAGAAAGAGTTTTGTCTTCCTCCCCTCACCCAGTATTTTCCTCATGTTAACTGCACATTGCAGGATTGTTAGTTTTGGATTCTGTTTCCCCCTGAATACAAGTCTTTATGGAGCTGCCCACTGCTCTTCTTTCAAGAAACGCTGCTGCTAACTTAAGACAGAGGAAGATGCTATGTGTAACAGGGCTGTAACGATGCCTGAATTGCAAACTTGTGCAACTAAAGAATGGTATTGTGCAAAACAGAATGGAAAAACTGCTGCTGATGAGCACAGAGAGTTGAGGCAACAAGAAGCCCTACTTAGAGAGCAAGAGAAGCTGGGTTTGAAGAACAAGTAGTAGTAAACAAGATAGGAAGGCTCTGTTCCTGCAAGAGTAAATGATCCCTTAGAGCAGCCAAGGAGGCTGTTTGATGTGAACTCTGTGCAAAGTTCAGTGGAGAGTGTGCTCCAATGTCCTGCGCGATGCTGCTTTTTTCTCCTCCTTGTTTACAAGAAGCTGGTATGATTTCAGAATAAACTTCTGAAGCATCCTTGCTGGGAGAATTTGGATGACAAAATATTTCTTAGCATGTAGAAAGTTATTGCTACGGCAGTAACTGTTGAAGCTGGCTGAGTGGCTGCTGCCTGGTTTTGGTTAATGTCAGGAATTGTGCTGGTGGGAAACAAGTCCTGGGGTGGGACTGTGCAGTCTCCGTTGTGCCTCAGCACAGTTCTCAGCATACTTCAGATGCTGCCTCTGCAAAACGATGAAATAAACTTCCGCTTTTCCCAGTAAAATGCCTCTAGTACACACATCACGGAGCTGTTTTTGTCCATCTTTATTTAACAATAACAAGGGTTGTGCAGAAAACATGCAGGGCGTGGAAATGGAGAGCTGAGCCCCATCTATCCTCTGCTGCTGAAGGGTGGGAGGAGGTAGGAAAGCATGGAAAAGAGGAAAACAGCTTTGCCTGTGCCTGTTTTGATACTGAAGAACTCTTCCCAGGGATCTGAGAAGGGGGTGGGGAGAGAACCAGATGCTCTTAGGAAGTTCATACCATTGTTAATAATGTAATTCACAGATGGTGGTGAAGGCCTTGAAGAGGCTTTCATGCAGTACTTACGCTCTGTAACAGATCATCACATACGGGCTCACAAATAGAGATGACTTAATCCCAAGGATGAGTCTACAGTGATCTGTTTGATGATAGGCCTGCAGATCACTGCAACCTTTTTAAACAGTTAAGAGCCTCAGGATCCCTGGATGTTGAGCACTACAATTGGACCAATCTCTAATTAAATTGTCAGGATAAAATATTCATATAGCTCTGAGACTTTTCCAATGACAATAGCGCTTGAAATTAGAAAACAAGTTCCTTTGTCCTGGTACAGAAATCAATACAGGTAAAGCATGAACATCAGTTTGTACAATGACATCTTGTTAAGAGGCAGTTTTGCTTTTATTTCCATTTGTCTGCTCGGAGCTGGAAGCAGAGCTTGTCTGTGTTCTGAATAGCTGTCAGTACTTTGTGACAGCTAAGAAGGTTTGTGCCTTGCATGTCCTCCTGTTGAAAAAGAAGTCACTCATACCTATAAGCTTTACAGCAAATGAACAGGCTGCTTGTTTTCAGACATGTAGAATCAGAAAAGATTTAGCTCAAGTGCTTGCAATAAAATTCAATATTTGTATGTTTGTGAGAGGTTTATTGATAAGATCTTCCCTGGCTACTGGTCAGCTTTTTTATTTGGTGTAAGCTGTGTAACTACAAGTGTTTATCAAGGACTTGTAAGCAATACTGGCTTGCATGTGTAGCACTAGAACATAAGAACTGATCTTGGTTTTGTTTGTTGCTGTCTTTTCAAGTGAGACATTCCCATTGTGGGTTTTATTATTATTATTATTAACTTCAAGTTTAAATTGAATTTAGTAAATTGACTTCTTGTGATGTTTGTCATGTGATGGTTCATGAGCTCTGAAGAATGTGCTCCTGTGACTTCAGCCATGTATTTGCCTGTACCAATGTAGGCTGTATCATGTGTTCTTTCTTGTTGGTCTTGCATTTTGAGCTAAGTAGTGGAGGGGGTTGGGAGAAAAAAAAAAGGGGGGGGGAACTAATTCAGGGCTAAGCTACCAGAAATTTTCAGACTGCTTAATTTGTGACCTTGTTCCCTAGTTAAATACAACCCAGGATTTTCTGCCTCTTCCAGAGTTTCACAGAAGTGTTTTCTGCATTAGAAGCTGAGTTTTTCTCTTACTATCCTTGTTAAAAAACAGGAAAACACAATGCTTTGGTAAAAGAAATACCTTGACATCTTGGGGAAAGAGATTTTTTTAATCCTTGGTGGGTGGTTGTGCTTTAACTGAGAAAGTTAGAAACTGTCTTTCTGATCCACATTTTTTGCATATATCAACTGTAAAGCAATATCTTTATTACTGCAGTAAAATGAACAAAGTTGAAATGACTGCATCTGTGCCAAGAATTTTTGTTTTCACCACAATGGCCGAAGTTTTGGAGCACTAAAAGTGCTGTCAGTGAGTCTCCAGCTCCTTGTCTCACTGCCTGCCTGTGCTGTCTATGTCCAGTGGAAGCAGAGACCCCTCCCAGGACTGAGGACTCACAAGGTCAGAATTCATATTAGGTTTATTATTTTAAGCAGCATTTTCCAGCATTGGGCATCCTTCTGTTTATTTCCCTGACACCATGTAATGCTCTTTTTCATTTATATATCTACACATATGTACACATACATACATGTATATGTGTTGCTACTGCTGTTCAATCCTCTGCATTTCCCCCTCTGCATTTGTGTAAATCATGTTTCAACAGAGCTGTACTTTATACAGTTCCCATACAATGAGAGTTTTTTGTAGTTTTTATGTCTGCGTGGGCTAAGCATTTCTTTAGATTTGAATCCAACATCAAAGTAATACTGGTTTAATACAATGTTTTTATATCACCTTTTTTTCTCCAAGTTGGATTTTATTTTAAGCTCTGACTCTCTTGCTGCATAATTTGAGACTTTGCTTGCTCTTCACATTATAAAAAAAAACCCAACCAAAACAACCCACACACAAAGCTCTATTTTCCTTAGCTCATACAGTATTTCCACTTGGCTCAGAAGATGTGGATTTGTGAGCTGAGGGAATCCTCATCTGGCTGGTCACCCAAGCCTTCTTCAAGAGTATTAGAAGGATCTACAGCCTAAGTTCATCAGAGGGCTGACCTGCTCTGGTTTTAATGAGATTTATTATACCTGTACCTGTTGGATTCTGTGGTTTTGATCTTCAAAATTATCTGAATAAACCTGTTAGTGAAAGCAAAACTGTTGACAGAAAACTGACTCTACTCAATCTGCCCCGTGTTAAGATTATTGATTTTTGGAATTAAAATAGTATCTGTTGTGGCATTGGCATGGAACTTCTGTGTGGTGTTTGACAAAAATGCTTGTATCCCTGCTTCCTTTCTTAACTCCTCCAGTCTCCCTCTCTGAAAACCACACTGATCAAACCCTGATACTGCAGTCCAGGCTTGGAGAGGGTGGAAGAAACAAATCTGGAAGTAGGGGTTGATGAATGAATGTGTATGGATGTTATGGATACAGCTGCATTCCTAACACATGCAGGAGAGATTGGGAGGGGTCAGTCTTGGCCAAATGTAAATGTGTATTTTCCCTAAAACTGCCTTTGTTTTTCATGAAAGCTCAACAGTATTTATTGATTTGAGTTTTGTTAGCTTAAATCCTGAGAATTCTCAGTTTGCTCCAAAATGAGTTCCTCTGAACATTCAGCTTGTCAAATATCTGTGGTCCTCCAGGGCCTGGAAAGGGATCCAGAGGCACTGGAGGGGTATAGATGTGCACTGGTTATGGTTGAGTGAAGGCAGCGCTGGGGAGCAACACAAGCAGGGAAAGTGGTGTCTGGAATGAGAGTATCTGGGTCAGCCTCCTCTGGAGCTGCAGGACACGTGAGATGCTGCTCTAGTCTGGTTGTACTTCTTTCAGTTTGGTGACTCCCACGGAGGTTTAACACAACTCTAGAAGATGCAGGTTGACAGGCCTGAGGTGGCCTGTGAACACAGAGATTTGACTTGTTCCACCAAGATTTGGCAAACCTGATGACTGGGTGATCTCAGGAGCTGTGAAGAAGAATGTGACCTGTCACTAACAGAACTCATCAACTTTCCTGTGCTGGCACTGGGACTTTGGACATGCAGCACTCAAGTCTGAGACAAATGCACTGCTGGGTGTAACGCCTTTCCTTTTTTTTTTGTTTGTTCATATTAATGGAAGTGGAGAGCATAATGCAATCTTAAAATAGCTCCTCCGTGAATGCAGAAACATTCCACTTCTGACTAATTGGCCATTCAGAATGAGCATTTAAATATGCACTAGAGACTGAGCGGCGGCTTTCCATATCCGCGTGAATGGAGTTGGAAATGTGCTGTACTGCAGAGTCGTGCAGGCTCCTTGCTTTGTCCTCGTACCCCACAGTCCTCGCTCAGTGTGACTGCTTTACCCTGGGAGGCAGAATGCATGTCCTGCTTGCTGGCTCTTTGCTTAGGCAGCAAGCTGAGGGGGCTGCTCATTTTCTCCACTCTCGAGACTTAGGATCTTGGAAGCACTAGGCTGATAAACAGCCCTCAAAACCAGATTTCTCTTTCTCTTGTTTGTGAATGACCAGGAACACAAAGAACTTATGGTCCGAGTCCTGGCTTCAGTGCATGGCTTGGAGAACTTGGCACACACCAGGGAGCCCACGTGCAGTGTTTTGACTCGGGCAGGCAGTGCCTGCTGCCCCAGAGCATCTGGCCAAGCTTCACAATGAGAATAAGACACAAATGCACGTGAGAGCTGCGGGGGCAGGTGTCACTGACCTAAAACCTGTCCCAGTCTAAGGAGTTCTCTTGCACCCTGTCACTTCCTGCCCAGAGGATGGTACCATGCAGAGCTCTCTCCCAGGGGCACAAGTGCCACTGGAAGTGGGTAGGGTCTCACCTGTCAGAAAAGGGCACACTTTGATTTACCCACCTGTCCTGACTTTGTCTGCACTATATGAGTCAAATTTCTCTGTGCCTTCACTGGCTGTGTTTTGTTTTTCTACTGAGCAAATACAGATCATTGCTGGGTCAGACTGCTGATGTTTTGTGCATAGTGAGACTGTCCTCGTGGTGTGCATGTGCCAGACTGTGTATGGCACTGGCCTCTCCTGGTAGGCTGAGGGTGTCCTAGTGCTGCTTTTGCTCTCCTGCCCACAGGCTCAGTGCCAAGGGAGCTGCCTGGGCCAGACCAGCCAGGCAGAGTCTACAGAGGTGATTTTCTTTCGCTGATCCGTGTTGCTTTTCCAAATCCCACGTGGCCTATATGGCTGTAATTGTAGCTCATTTAGAGCTGACCTCAAAGGCAAGTTCTCCTTTCCTCCCCAAAAGGGGAGGTTTTTGCATAAGGGTTTACTCTGGTTTAAGGCTGCTTTATCTTAGTATAACATAAACCTGTTTCTAGTTATCTTAAGGCAGAAAGCAACTAGGGGATTTGGATTGGACTGGATGATTGATTCCTGCTGATTTAAACAATCCATAAGGAGTGCCTTTTGCCTTTACCTAGCTAATCTTGATTTCCTTTTCTGGCATAGGCAGCAACAAGAACTTTACATTGTCTCTTGCAGTGGGACGGAGTTCTGGGAAGAGCCATATTCTGAACATTGGCTTCTGCAGCTCTGGTCTTCAGGTGGTTATTTATACAAGGCACTAGCCGAAGGGAAAGGAGAGTTTTAACAGGATTAACCTCAAGAAAAGAGTGTGGGGATTTAGGGATTAAGAACCAAAAGCAGCCAGCAATCAGTGATTTAAAAATCTGCGGTAAGAGAGACAGTCTCTATAGACTATAGATGGGGAATATAGTCCTTCCTTACCTGCACAGTGTTGAGATTGGCAGTGTTTTTACCTTTGACATCTTGGAGAAGATGGTCTTAAGGATGCAGGATTTGTGTAGGGTATTTTCTCTGAAGACTTGTGTATTGATGAGAAATTGTTCACAATTGGCAACTCCTTAAGAAAAAAAAAGTGAAGGACTGAGTGCTTAGATGAGATCTCACACCTGGCACTGGGAAGGTATGCAAGGTGGCTTGCTCCAGTATAATGAGAACATCTGGTTTCCATAGACTTGTAATTCTTGTAGCTTCATGCACTCCTCTTTTACACCTTCTACCCTTGCCTTAAAGTGTTTCTGTTGTCCCGTATATTTATTTTTTTCCCCTGATGCTGTTATGTATCCTCTGCAGGGAAAATCCTGCTAGATTACTGGATTGATAGAAAGATTTGGAGATGCGGGGGAGATCAACAAAAACCTGTTACTAAGGAGATGTGAGTTTTAGCACAGAGTCTCTAATGGCCAGTCTGCTGAAGGGGAAACAGATGGCACAAAGGAGGCTGGGATTATACAGACAAGTACCACAGGGCTGCAAATCTGATATATCCATTGAACTTCCTGGGGTCAGGCAAATCAGGCTTGTGCCAAGACTAATGTGGTTCCTTTGCCTTTGGCACCGTGTTTGTGTCCTTCTGTTAAAGGCTGTTCTGGACAGTGGGCTTCTGCCTCAAGCATTCCTGCCTCAGGAAACAGCCAGGTTAGGCACAGAGTGAGGGCAGGTGGCTGTATGGAAGTGTGTCCTTTTGACAGGTCAAGCTGTACCTGCTGCCAGTGGCTCTCCCTTCCTGAGAGGGAGAAATAACCAAACATAACCCTGCATTCTGCTTGAGTACAGCTTTTCTGCTGCTACTGATGTACTCATGTAGAAAAGTGACTTCTATCCTGAGAGAACGGGAGGGTGACTGGTGGCCACAGTTGCTCCTGGCTTTTGACACAGCCTGGCCTTTATTGCAGTGTAATGTTTTGCAGAGGCTTAAATTTCAAGAGTGATGCTCCCAGCTGTGTGCTGCTTGCTGGGCTCCTGCTTCCCCGACTCCTGCCTGCTCCAGAGAGACGTGACATGGCACTGCTGGTCTGGACAGAGCAGTGGGTAAATAAGCAAAGGCAGAATTCATCCTGACTGAGGAGAAACAGTGCTGGAGTCACTTTTGCAAGAGGCTAATTAACATCTGGTTTTGCATTTAACTTTCAGGCTGGCTCTAGAGAGTGTTTCAGTAAACAGGACACTGATTTGTTAATAGTGGGAGAGTGCTAAATGACTGCAGTGCTAGAATTAATAGCTTGACAGCATATCCTCTTCTCCTTTTCTTTCCTCCCACAGCAATTTGGACTGATACCCAAATAAACAATAACAAATAAATTTCTGGAGGAGCTGGCTGGGAGAAATAATAAAAGTCAAGGGGCACTCGTTATGCAACATTGTTCTGCTAGTATTTGACTCATCCAGAAAACCCTGTTCTACTCCCTAGCTTCATTTTCCTTTTTCTTTTTTTTCTTTGGCCTCTCTTGAGGAGGTGTTATATTTACTGCCTTGCTTTTGGTCCCTCAGAAACTCCCCTCCTTGGATCTCCAGTTGCTGTAGGCATGGTGTGCTGGAAGAGTGTAGGCAGAACCCTACTGCAGAGAAACAGCATGCAGGAACCTATAAGACAGCTTGTGTCAGGCAAGAAAATTGCTCTGGCTTTAATTCCAACCACATGAGACTAATACCTGGGAGTATTTTGTGAAGAAGTGAGTGAATCCGAGTAGTTTATAACTCTTATGTCCTGGTTCTAATAGCAGTAGTCCCCTGCCAGAAGTGGGGCAGCTGGGAGGCTGTTGTGCACCTCAGGGAGCGTACAAGGAGTACGCTCTGTACCTTGTGATTCTCTCTGCAGCGTCTTGCCAGAGAATATCTTCAGGCGTTCCTTTCCCTCTGCTCTCCACAGACTCTGCTTTGTGTCCTGCATGCACAGAAAGCTGTCCCAGCAATTCCTTTTGAAGTTTTGCCTGAAACACTTGGGGGTTTTTCCTTACCCAAACGGAGGCTAGAGGTGAAGGGACTTTGCTGCCAATTCCTGTTCTGATCTAGAGTCTAAACTCCTGCTGTTAAAGCTCTACCAGCCACTTCAGTTCTGGATATGTCACTGCAATAGAGCAGAGCCTCCCCGGCTGTGCTCCTGCTTGAATCTGGGGTTATGCAATAGCAGCCTGCAAGTGCCAACGCAGATGCTGCTGCATCCAGACACGCTGTACAATGTAGTTGCTTGGATACCCCTTTTTTTTGTTATTTTTCTCACAAATGCTAGGTAATAATTTGCAACTCGTAATTATACCGTTGAACACAGATTCAGGTTAAGCAATGTAAAGAATTTGAAAGATTAATTATTTCCTCTCTGCTTTTTAAAGGTTGGGCATTG